AACAATTATCTTATCTTATCTTATCTTATCATCTATTTGTCTTGGGTGAACGGTGTGGTCAAAGGCAATCCAGAATGCTTCCCATTCTGAAACTTGTCCACTGAATTTTGGAATAGAAATGTGTGCTAGATTTCTAAGTGGTGCCACGGGTGTTTCATTATTCTAATCGATAATTCCATTTTGATTTCATATTTGACGTCGATTTCTATATTTTCAACTTTTCCTTTAGACTATAAATTTTGCTCAAAATGTTTGTTGCCTCATCAATAATGTCGAGTGTTCTATCGGTGTTGGCTTGTACTTTGCTTTGAATATCTTCCGATGCAGAAACATTTGTCTCTAGTTTGTCGACTACCTTGTGATAATTTTCCAGAGCAGTTTCTACATTGCTCTTTTCGAATTAAATTCCTAATTTTGCATCCCATTTCTAGTATATGTTCTTTACTGTTGAGGATCGTTAAAAGGCGTTTTGTTGCTTTTGTCAAAGCTTCTTGTCGTGAAGACACTGGGGAGTTCACTGAATATTGTGACTTCTTTGTTTTTAAGAAAAAATGAATTTCAAAGAAATGAATATATCGAATTCACTGACTGTGAAACAATTAAGTTCGATTGCTCTGCCTAAAGAGTGTGAACGAAGAAGAGCGTTGAAAGTTTTCCAGCCTGCCTAAGGTGATTTACCAATATAGTGGCTTGGGCTCAGTAGCCGTAAAGTTTATTCCAAAGTCGGGTGATGTATCTCAAACTTGTATGGATAAACTTTTATCAAACAATACAATATAAACACAAACTAACGTATCGATGGTGATACAATATAGAGTGTGTTTACGAAATAAACCTCCATGAGAGGAAGTGAAGAGCGAGATATGTCAAGGGATTTGTCGATGTAGAAAGGCCACAGTCCAAGTCCAAGACTAAGTCGAAGTCCAAAGTTAAGGACAAAAGATTGTAGGTACAAGAACGGAAAGAGCTAAATGTCCAAAAATGAAGTGAGATGCAGTGGAGTTATGCTTTTATAGATTGATCCTATCAGAGGGATATGATATTGATTGTACTGATAGGTGACAGAATGTAGTGAGTGTTCAGTAGGGTTCGTAGATTGGTAGCCGTTAGGCTTGCACCAAAGTTGGGTTG